TTTGGGGACACGGGGGACAAGGGGGACAGAGGTGGCCGCAGGGGCCTCCCAGTGCTCCCAGTGCTCCCAGTAAGGCGTGGTGTCCCTCCCCCGGTGTCCCCCTGATGTTTCTCTGATGTCCCCCGATGTCCCCAGCACTTCCTGCGGCCACTGCGGCACTTCCTGAGCCCCCGGGACATGGAGAGCGTCTTCATCAACGTGGAGGTGACACTGGGGACACGGGGACACGGGGACACTGACCGGTGACACCGGTGACACCAGTGACACCAGTGACACCAGTGACAGTGACACCAGTGACATGGAGGTGACAGTGACAATGGGACATGGGGACATGGAGAGCGTCTTCAGCAACGTGGAGGTGACACTGGGGACACGGGGACACGGGGACACTGACCGGTGACACCAGTGACACCAGTGACACTGACCAGTGACACCAGTGACACCGGTGACACCAGTGACAGTGACACCAGTGACACTGACCAGTGACACCAGTGACACTGGTGACATGGAGGTGACAGTGACATGGGACAGGGGACACGGGGACATGGAGAGTGTCTTCATCAACGTGGAGGTGACACTGGGGACATGGGGACGTGGGGACACTGACCAGTGACACCAGTGACACCAGTGACACCAGTGACACCAGTGACACCTGTGACAGTGACACCAGTGACACTGACCAGTGACACCAGTGACACTGGTGACATGGAGGTGACAGTGACACGGGACAGGGGACACGGGGACATGGAGAGTGTCTTCATCAACGTGGAGGTGACACTGGGGACATGGGGACATGGGGACATGGTGACACCAGTGACACCAGTGACACCGGTGACACCGGTGACATGGAGGTGACAGTGACACTGGGACAGGGGACATGGGGACACCACTGACACCAGTGACCAGTGACACCAGTGACACCAGTGACACTGACCAGTGACACCAGTGACATGGAGGTGACAGTGACACGGGACAGGGGACATCCCCTCCCAGTGCTCCCAGTGCTCCCAGTGCTCCCAGTGACCCCTCCCAGTGCTCCCAGTGCCCGAGTGCTCCCAGTGCTCCCAGTAAGACCAGTAACCCATCCCAGTGACCCCTCCCAGTGCCCCTCCCAGTGCTCCCAGTGCTCCCAGTGACCCCTCCCAGTGCTCCCAGTAACGCCTCCCAGTGTCCCCTCCCAGCGCTCCCAGTGCCCCCTCCCAGCACTCCCAGTGCTCCCAGTAAGCGCCGTTCCCGCAGGAGCTGCTGGAGCTGCACCCCCCCAGTGCTCCCAGTGCTCCCAGTGTCCCCTCCCAGTGCTCCCAGCGCTCCCAGTGCTCCCAGTGCTCCCAGTAAGCGCCGTTCCCGCAGGAGCTGCTGGAGCTGCACCCCCCCAGTGCTCCCAGTGCTCCCTGTAACCGATCCCAGTGCTCCCAGTGCTCCCAGTAACCCCTCCCAGCGCTCCCAGTGACCTATCCCAGTGCTCCCAGTGCTCCCAGTGCTCCCAGTGCCCCCTCCCAGTGCCCCCTCCCAGTGCTCCCAGTGCTCCCAGTGCTCCCAGTAACCCCTCCCAGCGCTCCCAGTGCCCCCTCCCAGCACTCCCAGCACTCCCAGTGCTCCCAGTGCTCCCAGTGCCCCCTCCCAGCGCTCCCAGTAAGACCAGTAACCCATCCCAGTGACCCCTCCCAGTGCTCCCAGTGCTCCCAGTGCTCCCTGTAACCGATCCCAGTGCTCCCAGTGCTCCCAGTGACCCCTCCCAGTGCTCCCAGTGCTCCCAGTGCTCCCAGTAACCCTCCCAGTGCTCCCAGTGCTCCCAGTAACCCCTCCCAGCGCTCCCAGTGCTCCCAGTGCTCCCAGTAAGCGCCGTTCCCGCAGGAGCTGCTGGAGCTGCACCGCCGCTTCCTGGGGGAGCTGCGGGGGGCGCTGGGGGGGCCCGGGGGGGGGCGGGCG